CTGACCACACGTCACTCTGTATCTGGTTGGATGATCGTTCACCTCTGCTTAGGCATGTGAACGTGACGCCATCAGTCAAGTTAGTCGGCTTTGGCTCTCAGAGGGCTGTTACGCCACGGATTTATTATCGACAAATATATTTCTCTCTATAACGAATTGAGTAAAGAAATATGTGTTCGCTTAGGTGAAGTGTTCGTCAAAATTGTCCGAGCGAAGTAAAAATTGAAATGGCCCGACAGTTTTAACCAATATAGAAATAAATCAAAATTGGTTTATCAGTTCCCGAATTGTTTCTATCACAAGATTTTTTGCTAACTGGTAATTTGAGCCGAGGGGCAAGTACTCAAGAGAAAGTAAGTTAAATATGTTGGAAACCGCGTGATGCGATGCACTTCAATACAACGCTATTTGCTAAATGTTGTTGCCACTGAACTCGTTAATAATTAAACATGCTTAAGTTTTACACGTGTCATCTTATACACCAAACAAAGCCGTTACATCTGTGCTCACGTCTGCGTTCCATAGCTGTTTGCCAGCAAACTTAGAAGTAAGTATGTGTATCAGCATATTTACTTCGAAACAAGCAAGTCATCGTGACAGCTAGATAATCTGTGTACTAAAGAATTATATCCGCGCTATACATTGTGAAGTAACCTACGTGTTCTTCACTATAATAAATGTGAACAGCTGACAAACACCAAGATTTACTAACAATAGATACAGAGTGTCACAAAATGACGCACTGAGATAGTATGCGTAGAAACTGATTAAATTTATAAGCGAATGATACTTTTTTAGTTCCCGGGGAACACCCTGCCACTCAAAAACCTCCACAAAAACCAGCCACAATGATTTAGAGCTGCCGAACTTGGTGACCATTAAAATCCACCCTCGCATAACAGAGAACACCGTTCAACCATAATGAAGATACTAAAGTATGTCTACACTAGTGCGAAATCTGGCGGCATCTTGTTGAAACCAGTCTGTTCTCATTGCTAAGGATATTCTGACACTTGATAACGCAATCTATTAACCGTTCATGGATGCAGCGGCAACAGTAGCCTTGGCTGAGTTACCTCCGGCCCGAAATTTTGGCGCTCAACTTAACGCAACAATCCAAAGGAAGTGAGCCCCATCTGGAAACATCCGGCATTCACAAAATTTCTTTAGCTAGGCCTGGCGCTCAGCTTGCTAAGTAATTTCCAATAGTGTAACACCGCCGCTACTCTTTCGTCATATGACTGACTGACTGAGCTGTGTTGTGCGAGTAAACAACAATAATCACTATATATTTTTCATACAGTACTGATTGACAGCCGTATTTCTTGCAATAAACTTTAAATGTTTTCTGAGATTTCTGTTAATGCCTGCGCGTTTGTATTGACAAAAATCTGGTTCCTAGGAAAACATACGCTTTGCACGTTTATCATATAAATGTCGTTTCTTCAAACTGCCACGTCAGCAAAGAGTGTCTTGGGTGTACCAGAAAACTCTGACATCAATGTAATACCCGTCGGAAGAATAAAATGCTTCGATAAGGAACTTCATGGCCATTCGTGTACAAGGCCGTCTTGGAAGTTTTTTGCTCACAACATAAATTTCCTGCAAACATTGCAAACAAAGTCCTTAAGAGTTTAATGCTATTACGTAAAGCTATCCACCTACAAGCCATGTGCGTAGGATAGTTCCCCAGCCGCGCTCTACCCCAGGGGCGTCAATTCTATTGCGTTCCGTAGTAAAGGAGCTATAACAATTTTAGTGTTAAAAGATAGAAAAACCACCCTATAAATTATTTTTGTCAGCTCTTTAAATTTGTTTTCATTTCCACGAATAAAAACTATATTTAGCCAGTGTAACTTGTGAAGAATCCTTTAACTCGGCGTTCTTTATTTCGGTTTCAGGAGCGTTCTCAACTCTGCGGAGTGCCTAAAAACGTTCGCTCCGTCAGCCCGCACACCTGAAACCACTAGAGATTGGACAAACCGAGTTTGATAAAATTTTACAATGGAAATTTTTAGGAAACATTACAATTGTAATTCTATATAAATCTGTTATGCCAATTTACCTTAAAATATTATTACATACAAGTTCATTTCCAATTCTTGTGAAAATAACTTCGTAGCTTTCAGAATTTTAAAAATCATTACTTTTTTCCATACTCTGATTAAGCCAAGGTGATGGAATCGTTCGTATGTAGATAACGACACCGCAGTGCTCAAGTAGGTGTCGTGACATTCGCAGCTGGCATTCAGGGCTCAGGCAGCACGCACCAACAGCCACTTCAGTGCTCTTATGTCCGACGAATTCGTCTTTCATTATTCTTGCCGGAAAATACACTGTTTCATTTTTTACAGAATTAACTGCAGAAAATAACAAATGGCTGAATCTGTAACGGTTACTGTGGCTCAGGGTGGTCTGAGAGGAAAGAAAGTAACAACCAGGACTGGAATAACGTACTACAGTTTCCAGGGTATCCCGTATTGCAAACCTCCTGTGGGACCTCTCAGATTTAAGGTAAAATAGTTTATTTTTAAGTTCCTAGTATTTAAAACCTTCTCTCTTCACATTTTTCTCAACAAAGTTCTGTAACTTCGCGTGCTTTCGCGACTTAAAATTGCAAAAAATTCTGTCTTCTTGTATATAACAACTCAAGAACGACTGAACGGACCTTAATTGAGTTTAATATCAAGACGTTTTGCTAGAATCTGTCGATACATTTATATTTTGGTTAGAATCGGGCAGTGACTGGCCTAACGGGCACGTTATGTGAAGAACAACGCGTTTCAGCGCGTGAATGACCGGACGGGGTTCTCCCAGGACACTGTCCTAATTAAGACAAACAACTTTAATTATGGTATCTAAGGTAATTATTGTAACCATGGTTACCTGGGAAATGCCCGGCCACCGAGACAAGTCTGATCACTCGCGCCGTTCAAAACGGTCAATGGTCAAATGTCAAAGAAATGTTACGTTATGCTTTAATTTTCTAACTTCTTTCTTACTTCCGGTGTATTTATTGATACCAATAGGAGTGGTGTCTAACGGTCCGATGTTCATAGGGACTTTCAAGGAACATAAATGTCAGTACTTCATCTGAAGACAGACAACCGTAAACATTCGGTTCGCAGGAGAGAACCTTGATCCATGATCTAGTTTTCTGAGAGTCGTATTAAGTCATCATGTACTACAAGTGATACAGCTGCTGTGCGAGTCTACATGTGCCAAATGTTTTAAGCAGAGTGAATTCTTAATGCCTTCGAATTTTTTTAAGCAATCTGCTGATCTCTTGTGATGGCCTACTTTCAAAAGTTTGGTTTGGAAACATGCTATGTATTAGTTGCTGGTCTGACTGCATACAGCCTTTGTAAAAACATTCAAATGGTGAACAGCTGAAAGTATGGAATAAGGCATAGGATGAGGGAATTGAAATAAAGACGGCGACAAAGTCATCTGACAAGAAAAGCAAAGAAGATGGGCTAATCAGTTCGAACACCAAATATAGAACGAAATAAAGACAGACGCTTTCAAGTAAGGCTGTATAACGTAGTTGTGCGGGACTGCATAACATAACAAAATATGAAGGCATTGAACATTCATCTTGCATTTTAACACGGGACTAATTTAAAACATTCAAAAGTTGCATAAAATGATGTAAACGTAGGTGTATCCCGTCCTATAACAATCTCGCCACAACCGGCTATGGGAGAATAATCAGTTAACGATATCAAAGAAAGTCACATGACATACGTATTTCCACGTTCCATACAAATTAGCAAAACCTTTGCTGGCCTCTAATTTGCCGTGGCAATAGCAATTCTGAGGAGGCACAAAACTGATAAGTGGTAGCTTAATGCGCCGAAATAGACTTCATTATCGTGTACTTATGTAGCAAGACAAGCATGAGTGCATACTACAATGATAGGACCTCTGAAGGTCAAAGTCTATTCCTCAACTATCGATGAACTTGATGTACATAACATGAAGAACAATGTCAACTAAAAGAAAAGTTGTCAGTGGAACCACGGTTCCGGAGAATTTGACGTAAATACGTCTATACGGAAAGGAAGTTTATATATTGACATTATTCTAAATATTTCCTTTATACATGCTTTACAATTGAGATAAGTTTGATTAAGACATTGCTTAATCAACTTGAATTAGTTACGCTTAAGATGGGTCTGTGGTAGATGAATGTAATGTAAAGTAATGTAAGGTAAGGTAATGTAATGTAAGGTAAGGTAAGGTAAGGTAATGTAATGTAAGGTAAGGTAAGGTAAGGTAAGGTAATGTAATGTAATGTAAAGTAAGGTAAGGTAAGGTAAGGTAATATAATGTAATGTAAGGTAAGGTAAGGTAAGGTAAGGTAAGTTAAGGGAATGTAATGTAATGTCTCTTTAATGCTATGTCTACACTCGTGCGCTTTCGTTTTCAACTTTCAATTCAACTTACGCTTCAACATTCAATTCAACTTTCGTTTAGGGCATGCCTTTGTTGAATGTGCCCCTAGCTGTCCACACTATGCTGCCATTTGTCAGGCAATTCTTCTGAACAGGAGAGAGGAACATGGCAGACGAAACTTTACTTATGGGCATAAGTGCAGCATATTTAGTTATCGCAGGTGAAAGAAAGAGAAAAGAGCAACGGCGGCGACGCATATGGATGAAGGATTATTTAAAGAAACGGAATTTTGGAATTCTGAAGGATTTGGAAGTCGATGAAGAGGTTCTATTTAGAAACTTTACACGAATGTCCAGAGCAAACTTCAACACGCTTTTGGAAATAGTCGCGCCGAAAATCGCAAAAAAGAACACTCACTTCAGAGAAGCGATACCTGTTGCGATCAAGTTAGCTATAACGCTGAGATTTTTAGCTACCGGTGATTCGTTTGCGTCCTTAATGTATTTGTTTAAAGTTTCCAAGCAATTCGTTTCAGCAATGCTTCGTTACTTTCCTTAGGTGTTATCGACTCTGTAATGAACAGCAGAGACTTATAGGCAAACCACGTGGAGGAGTAGTTATCTTCAGCGCCCGAACCACTTTTTCTTTTAAACACTTTTTGGCGTTCCTTAGAAAAGTATGAACGCAAACTTTTTATTTTGTTTTTCACACTCTTCACGTCGATGTTTAACTTGCTGCTCATCTCAGTCAAAGCATCGCTACGTTTTGTTTTATTAGTGTAGTCTCGATGGTTGTGGTCCCATAACAGTTGAAACGACCTGTAAATGTCGATAAACAACAAAGTTTCTTCTTCAGAAGACGCCATCTTGAGAATGAGACGCACGGCGTGTTGAACCAAAACCCACTCAGGCTGGGAACACGTGCAATGAGGCATGCGCTGCTAAAACTGCTGCCGTTCAACTCTCTTCAGGCATGCGTAGACGCATGCGTTACGTGCGCTATTGCTAGCGCTATAACGCATGCCATTGACGAACGTAAAAGCGCACGAGTGTAGACATAGCTTAACGACGTCAACTAAAGAGGCAGACCGAGACTGAGATGGAAACAGGTCTAGAAAGACGTCACACAGAAAGAGGAAAGAACATGGAAGTAATGGAGGAGGTGTGGGAAGACAAAGATAGATGGAAAGGCTTAGATGTCAGAAGACACAAAATTGGAGACATTTTAGGAAGAAGAATCCCAACTCAGCACCTAGGGTGTGATATTACTTTGTTCCGGGTCTACTGTTCATTTTCGCATCCAAAATATCAGGAAAGCAAGATATGTTACACCGTCACGTTGGATGCATTGAGAATCTATATTTAGAGAGCGTGGGGACCTGTCTTTATTGCTGGCGTAGACACCTCGTCAGTCGGGAATGGTGTAATCTATGGTGGTCAGGAAGATCTGACGACACACAAACATGGAAGAAACAGTTACTGCAGTTACAGTGAGTGTCGCACAGGGAGATCTGAGAGGAACGGAAGTGACGACTAAACTGGGAACAACTTACAACACTTTTAAAGGTATTCCGTACGCCAAGCCGCCTTTGGGATCCCTCAGATTCCGGGTAAGTGAGTACAAGAAAGGCTATGAAGGTCAGCAGAACGCTGACACATCACCCCGTTACGTAATTTTTCTTTCGAATAATCCACCTTGGCCTCGTTTCATCCTATAAGCCAGGTGATCGTTGTTCTCTGTTTAAAATTCATACATCAATGTTATAGACACTAATTGCCAGGTTATTGTGAAACTCGACATGTGCATTACGCCATTGGAGAATTTCTAGTTCTGTTAAGACGACGCCCTTGAAATCGTGAGTTAAGTTGTGTTGGATGGCTGGACATAACAGAGAATGCTCTGATTCTAAACCCCATTTTCTTGAGAATAAAAATAGTTAAATACAATACTTACTGCTATTTAGACACTGCATAATTGGATACGTACCTGTAAGCAAAAATAAAATTTCATTACGTTTGTTTACTTTACATTTAATAATGGACGAGTTAATAATATAAGCTCGTTCATTGTTGCTTACATTCCGTATTATAATGCATGTTATTATTTGATATCCCATGGTGTTGCCTCTTTATACACACCAAAGAATTGATTTTTCTTGATTAACGTATATGCGCGTAAAGGGAAATATTACTTGTAGGACCGAAACGAAGGATAATGTTAAAATGTATATTAAAGAAACAGAATGTGAGGATGTGGATGTGCCTGAGAACTGGGTCCAATGATGGGCTCTTGTGATCACAATAACAAACCACTGGGCAATTTACTCAACAGCAGAGCGACTGTTAGTTTCTATCGAAGAATTCTGCTCCATGGAGTTAGCAGTTTAATTGTAATAAAAAGTTGTCAGTGGAACCACGGTTCCGGAGAATTTGACGTAAATACGTCTATACGGAAAGGAAGTTTATATATTGGCTTTATTCTAAATATTTCCTTTATACATGCTTTACAATTGAGTAAAGTTTGACTAAGACATTGCTTATTTAACTTGAATTAGTAAGGCTTCAGATGGGTCTGTGGTAGATGAATGTAATGTAAAGTAAGGTAAGGTAATGTAAGGTAACTATGTAGGTAACCATTGTTGTTTATTTGTTGATAAACAGATGACGTTTCCAAGGTAACATAACAATGAAGTTTGACGTTTCCCAGGTAACATAACAATGAAGTTACACTTTTTCGTTACATTTTTGCCGAATGACACTGACCCTAAAATATAGACGTATTTACGTCAAAACATCTGAATTCGTCTTTAGGAACACTAAAATGTATTATGCCAGTGGTAAGTGTTGAAAAATTCCGTTGCTTAGATGCGTTTGGTTCAGCGGCCGATCGTGAGTCTGAGCAGTGGCGGTGCTGCGCAAGGGGGAAGAATCAGAATAGGTTTTCACCACATAACAATGTAAATAAATGAAAAGTACATCTTGAGAGAACCCATACGTGCTCGACGATGTTTTAACTATTTGTAAGTCCGGAAGAGGGCGGCCATGATTTTTTACATCCATTTTTTTACTCAAATACAATTTAGAAAAAGTAATTTGCCGTAACTATGATACACTTCCTTTGCTCATTATCATCATCAGAACAAAAAATAGTCATCAAATAGAATTATTGAACACTGATTAACAATAACCACGAAACAGTTTGTGATATAGAAACCAGTCTAAAACACGTGGTACCGGGCAATCGTGTTTACTATAAGCCGGCTGCGAGGAATGCAGCTCCGATACGCGCTGTACCAATGAACTGCCCCTCACTCCACCTCGCACCGCGCTGTCAACTTGTGACAAGCAGGCGGGCCTACGAAGCAGTGTGCGGTTATACAACGGAAATGACACCGGGTACTATGTCCCAGTTAGAAATAATAAACATGCTGGGACATGCTGCCTCCATCTTCAGAATTAGTCCACTATTCCTCTGATACGTCGTTATTCACCCACAAGTCCACAAGGTGCAAAACCCATATTTTAATCTGAACTAACCCTGAAAATGGAGGCAGCATATTCTTCAGTAAAGTTAGCAAGTCTACACACCCAAAGGATTACACGGTTCCATAACTTAGAAGACCGTTTTTGGAACTCACACCGCTGTGAGAGCATGAAACCTTACAAGAAATGGAATCGCTATGTAGGCCGACACCAACCATGGAGGAGGAAGTGGGATACAGCGAACTGAAATCCTAGTCCAGTGAGCCGATGTTCGCCATACAAATGATAACCAATACACAATATCAATAATAAATATAATCAACAGAATGTTGCTTCAGTTAACAATTACAAATTATATTGACATAAACTGTTGATACTGCGACTTCGACAATGCATGAATCAGCAACAAATGACTGGCTAAATTTCTGAAATAAAACAGTACTACCACCGTCCTCATAATGATGGTTTAACCAACTCATAAGCATAATTTGCAATTATATTTTCCTTCCACCTCAGAAATTACGAATACCCGGTTTACGATTTTTATACGTTCTGCCATTCCTAATGTCTTCGTTTTGGACTTAATCTTCAATCTTTTTTATTATGTTCTAAACAAATCTAAAAACCTTAAAAAATCACTTCGTTTCGAAAATTGGATCTTCCATGTCTTCACGTAAAAAGGAAGATACACCTGTTCTGTTGGATCTGGCAGACCCACAGATAAGGAATGGGTCGGTCTATCGTATCAGAATGCATGCATCACGGCAATGTGACACAAGGGAGGTTAATACTGTTTCAGGACGTCATTAGATTTACTCAATGACTATTGACATAGACCAAAGTGTTAACAAAATAACCCATTAAATTTAAAATTTCGAAATAATCTGATGGATTACATTACTGTTTTAAGGCACCGCATCCTGCTGATTCATGGGAAGGAATTCGCGACGCCCTCACCGAGGGCTCCGTCGCCCCACAGATAGACGACGTCGTGGCTGATGCATACTTAGGGGAGGAAGACTGTCTGTACCTCAATGTTTATACTCCTAAGGTAAGAGTGACATGAAATTCAGCATCCAGTTGCTGCTTTCGACATTCTTCTGGTTCTTGGATCATTAAAAGCTTATATATGAATCGGAACTGGGTTAATATTTCAGATGTCTTGGCTACGGAATCCACTGCCTTCTGAGGAAGAAGCAGGGATTTTTCTTTGTAGGGACATTTAGACCAGATGTAGGGTCCACACAGCCTTCTAAGCAATTAGAATCTGGTGCACAGGGGATAAAACTTATGGAACACCAAACTAACCACTCTTGGTACAGAATACGTAGAGCTTTACCTCCTGTCTGTCTTCATATCGTGGTCTTTATGTACAAGACAACTTTATCAATACTCTGAATGTTTGCAAGACATTAATGAAAATTTTTATATAATTTTTGCACTATTTCCTAAGCAGCCTAATCCTTAAATTAACGAGTTATCAAAATAACCCATGACCTCTCAAATGCTCTAAACAACAATTTATTTCCTAATCTAACTATGTATGAAACGAAGACACTCCTCAACTTATAGCAAGTTAAGTTTTTTCAAAAATGTGTTTCTATAGATACCTTATTAACAACACTGTATGCTCTTATTATTACTATCAAATTACATTATAATAATTTAACTTACAATTTGATGTATGCAGTATATTGGGCTATCACTATCAATACCCCTGCAAAAATTGAAACCTGGACAAACAAGCTACAGTCAGTTACCAGGTCAACTATTAAAGCAATTAGTTTATTATGGTGGGTATAAGATTTACTGTCACAATTATTAAAACATTTGTTGTTTCTCATTGCAGCTTCCTTCAAATTCTGGAGATGACCTAAAGGCGGTGATGGTTTGGATCCATGGTGGTGGCTTTTATATGGGGTCAGGAAACACGCAAATCCATGGGCCAGACTATCTAGTAGCTGGGGATGTCGTTCTAGTCACTTTCAATTACAGACTGGGAGCACTAGGTAAATGTTATGTACGTCTCGGGTGAGAGAGAGAATGAACTCAAAGGCGATGTATTTAATTTAGCATTACACAGTAGAGAAAAAGTCCGATATAAAATGCTTAAAATACAAATACTCTAACATATTCAATATAACACCTGCCTATTTTTAAGTACTTTGTGTGTACAAGGCTATATTTCTTCAGATTCATATGCAGCTCCATTATAACCCTGTCCAAGCACATTTTGATTTCTGTTGAGTATCTGAAGATATATCAAATTTGGGAGCAGAGTAAAATTGATCATCTTAATCAACATGGATTAATCTTTATATATATATATGTGTGTGTGTGTGTGTGTGTGTGTGTGTATCTTGTGGGCTGTTGCACCATGTAGACTAGTAGAAAATTACAATTGTTTCAAAGGTGGTTGCTGCCTCCATCAACAGGGTGATTCAGGGATCACACTGATGATGGAGCTTTACTTATAAAGTCAAAGAAATACAAGTATGAAAGTCCAGCATTCCTTCATGGAATCAATAAATATTTTTGTCTCTACAGAGCTAAATTCCAGACATGATTTAATAAAATCTTTAAAGAAAGAAAAAGTCTATACATAGTTTAAGAATGCTGATAAAGAATTTAAATCAGTTAAAAATTGAAAAACTTGTAAACTAAAAAGTAATAATATGAGGAATAACTGCCATATTTCATTGCTGGATTCAGTTACAGTCAGTATGTATATTAGGCCCATTTGTTTTATGTTTACACCAATTATCAACTTCCTATGTCTCGTATACTTGTCTGGGAATTTCATGTCAGCAAGAAATACATACCGTCCGGCAACAGCCATCCTTCACCATTTTCCTGTTGTGTTAACTTAGCTTCACCCTTTAAAATTCTACATTAAAATGGTTACATTTTCACTGAAACCTAGAATATACGTATGTTCAAATATCCTCCCACCTTCTGAATGGTCTTTGGATTATGGGTTAAGAATGAGTCATATGAACTGCATCATCAAAATCAATACACATGACTCCTTTAGTAATAAAATGTGAAAAGATCACCTTAATGAACAATTAATAATACTCTGAATATCCATGAAGGGTTTCTCAGTACGGAAGATTCTGAAACCTCGAGTAACAATGGCCTGAAGGACCAGGTGATGGCTCTGCGCTGGGTTCAGCAAAACATTGCGCAGTTTGGGGGTGATCCTGGCAACGTCACCATCTTCGGTGTCAGTGCTGGAGGAGGCAGTGTGCATTTCCACCTGCTCTCTCCCATGTCTGCAGGTACATGTAATGGCTATGAACTGTCAAGAGACTAAACTTGGTTTTCTTTTCTCATCATAACACACTTGTAGGATAAAGCTTGCCATTCCTAGCATCACGTACAAGTAAAAATTTTTCATTGTTACATAGGTGGTGGAACCAGATAACTAAGTAACTTTGCTCTGGTTTCTTTACCTTCCCTCTTTTTGATAATACATTCAAAGTCACTGTGGCAATTTAGAAGGCGGTGAGTTAGCAAATTTTGTAGCAATTTTGTAGTTAATGGGCCATCCTATTTATAGATACTTTGTCAACATCTTATGGCCAAATGGCAGTAAATGGGTGCAACATAACCTCATTTCCAAAAATGTCAGTAAGTTTTACACAGTTAAGAAGGGTATAATACTTCTACTTTGTTAAAAATTACAAAATAATTAAACATTTAATTGGCTTCTTTTGCTCAAGATGGATGATTTCTCCATGTTTCTGCTATCATAGTGAAATTATGTAAACTATAGCTACCTTTTAGTAAGAAACAGTCTCTTAAATTACTTTATGTCATGAAGGTACTAGTAAACAAATACTGGAGTGAGCATACTCAAAACACTGTACACTCTGCCAGCCTTGTTCACAGTTAATGCACTTCTCTTACAGGACTGTTTCATCGAGCTATCGCCATGAGTGGCGTGGTCCTAAACCCATGGGCTCTGATTGAGGAGCCACGTGACAGGGCATTCCGACTGGGTGCAGCACTGGGCTCTAAGGCTACAAACAGCAAGGAACTGGTGGAATTTCTACGGACAGTACCAGCACAGCAATTAGTAGAAGACATTGTCAAGGCTCAGACTCCTGAGGTTAGGTTTTCTCCTTAGGAGACAGGTGAATTCAGGCTTTCAGTGCTAACATTTATCATCTTTCTGGGTGATGACACCAAGTAGAAGACTATATTTTTGATGTTAGAATTCCTTAATATCTCCAGCTTCTAGGAGAACAGATTATCCAGTGGCTCCTCCCAATACTTGAATTATAGCCAACTGCTAGGCTTGCACCATGAGTAAGTACTGGCAGTGGCCACTGTGTAGTTATGCTACCTTTATGATGGAGTCAGTAATGATACTCAAAATGTTGGTAAGACAGCCAACATCTACATGGTTTCATCACCCTGAAACAGGATCCACAAAATATGGAGAAATAGTCTGATCCCTTTACATGGAATGTAGAACAGATCTGTTCATTTATAATTTTGCTATCAAAATTTAGAATCTTAATTTACACAAAGTCTTCTTAGCCTCCCACAGTATTCAGTTCTTACGCATGCTTTGCATGAAGTGCACAGGGAAAACATATATTATGGGATGGTCATGTCTATCTGCCGTCCAGTCTATTCTACTCCAGGACCACTGTACAGATTGGGATGAAATTTGATATAAAGGTTGTGCTATTCTACAAGACCTCAAAATCGTACTTTTGAATATCTTACAAGGGGTGATGATAAAATGATGGATGAGGAAAGTCGTGAGGTAGACAATGAGGTGCTGCGATCTGGTGGCCGAAGAAAGTGGCGGATTTAATACTTCTAAATGCACATTGTAAAGAATGTATAAAGATATGTGTATTCTGGTAAAGAATACACTTTCCAAGCTTGTTCCATTATTATGCGTCACTTCAGGACAGGGGTTCTTAATCTTTCAAGGTCACAGGCTGCTGGTTTATAAATGAAAGCAATTAACAGTAACATCACGGGGGCATATTAAAAGAGCTAGCAACTTTCTACTGTAAACATGTTCATATTTAAGTTACCAATTTTCTGTAATATATAGCTAGTCAATAGTGAGATATTTAACAATGCTACTGTTTCATTAATCTTAAAATAATGCAAACTGATAATTATCACATAACACCCACTCATTGCCGTATCCTAATGTATTTAATATTTTATTTAAATTTCCAGGAAAAAGCCAGTCAACTCCTGTTCTTTGCCCCTACTCTTGAAACAGGGGCTCAACAAGGAGAAGAGGTGTTTCTAACAGGAAAACCACTTGACCTGATGCAAGAGGGAAGATTCCACAAAGTTCCTTTCATGTCTGGCATCACTTCCCAAGAAGGAATGCTTATCATGCGAGGTAGGCCCATAGGAACAATAAGAATTTTGTAGGATTAGTAAGTTTCATAACATAATTGTTCTAAAATTAAATTACTTAAACAACATAAATTTTCTGAACATCAAACCCCAATGTGAAAGGTGACTAGAAAACAGATAATTGATGTTTCAGTACTCATCACCTTCTTTCAAGCAATGTCAATATGATTTACTAATCATTTTTCTTTTCAGCTGTGTTTAAAAACCCAACATTGTTAAATGAACTTAACAACAACTATGAATACTTTGTTCCTTCAACAATGAAACTTAAGCAGAAAAGTGCTAAGTCTCAAGAAATTGCTCGTAAAATAAAACATTTCTACTTTGGAGACAAACCTGTTTCAAGAGAAACATTGCAGCCGTTGTTTGACGTAAGAAATATTAAAATATACCTATAGCCTATACTGTATGCAAGTGTGTATGTGTGCACGTGCATTCATTTGTAACTGTGGCACAGGCCTCACAGATAAAAGTTTTTATCACTGATTACTTGAACAGTGCTTAATAAAAGTCTAATTACGTGGTAAATACAATTTTTCATTATCATATTATCATTTTCAGCTCTTCAGTGACATTTATTTCATCACTGGAATTAAGAAGAGCATTGAGCTGCAATTGCAACATTCTGACACACCGATATATTTTTACGAATTTTCATTTGATGAAAAGTTGGGAATGATTGAAAAGTATCTAGGTGATTCTACTATAGCAGGTATAAACTTCATTACATTAGTCATTTGCTAATTTTTTATACACAGACTGAAAGAAATAATGTTAACTTACATAGTGAAATGTAGTTGTAAAGAAAGTGAATTTTAGTCTCTTTCATCTTGTGACATTACTCTAATTCAATACGAAATTCCTCTCAAGCTATCGACTCATTTAGAGTATAACTCATACTGCGTTTCAAGCAACTGAAGTTCTGTGTGACTTTTAAGGAACAAACAAATATAATTATCACAATGACATTTTGATTTCAACTAAATTCATTCCAAGATTAGTAAGAAAGATACATTAAAACTTATCCTGCAACTTCAATTTTGGTGCATAAAAGTCATTTATAATCCCTGTTTTATGCAAAACCTAATTAAATAAATTTCTCAGAAGTGTTTTATTTTACAGAACATTAATGATTATAAAAATGCACCGTGAAGACCCACAGTTTAATTTGTCATGGTGAAAATCTGGCAGAATACAAGCAAAAAATAATTTCTAACTTTGCAGTGTACAAACACCAGATTTATTTTACGATAAATAGCCATAAAATTAACTGTGTGGTACGTATGCAAAGCGCACTTCTGGAACATACATGCCAAGCCTATAAGCCTACATTAATATAATTTCATTGTAATCTTTAGGTGTGTGTCACGGCGCTGAAGTAGCGTACTTGTTCAAAGCATTTTATGTCAATGACGACAAGCTCGATCCAAACACTGACTACATGAAGACTGTCGCTAGAATGGTAAAGATGTGGACCAACTTTGCTAAAACTGGGTAACTATTGCAAATGTTAAAAATAAGTTCTTTGCAAAAGAAGCAATATTCCTAACAAGTAATCAGATTAAATATAAAACATTTTGTGCTTCCATTTCACCAGTTATCGGTGGTTACATCGCCTTTTTATATGGAAAATACCCAACTTGAATCTGAAATGTGACAGGTCATACTTTTTATAAGTATTACTCTCCAGATGTTAATCAGAATTATAGTAGCCGTTATTTATTAGTGTCATTAAAATGTTGCTGAGGAGAAAAGGGAGTGCTTCAAAATCTGTGTCATTCTTTTCAACAATGATCATTCTTAGAGTAAACAAAGCGTCACTGAGCAGTTGCCTGGACTTCAATCATTACACATTTTCAGGAACCCAACTCCCAAGATCGATCCTTTGCTGGGAGTAACCTGGACTCCAGTCACAAAGGGTGAACTTAATTATCTGAACATTGACAAGGAACTTACTATGCAAAAGGACATTGCTAAGGATCGTGTGGCCTTTTGGGAAGAGCTTCAATCATTTCTGTGATAAATGTAAATATTTCAGTATTAAAACAAATTAAAAAGCTTTAAGTAAATATATAAGCTATTATATGTACAAACACATAAGATGTAAATACATTTATACCACACAAATTATAATCTGCTTCATATCTGTATATTAGTTATGATAAATTGTTTTCATATAAATAATATAAGGAGAGATTACACCAACTTAATTGTACGTAGTATAAAGTTAATGTATAAGTAGTGATTCCCAAACCTTACTGCCTGCAAAATCCTTCCAATTTCAAAATATGGCAATGACATTCCAAAATAATCAACAACGTAAGTGTAAAAAAGTGGTCGGTGGTGCAAAATAAAATAAAGACAATACTAATTCATACTTATGGCATTTTGGAGGTTATATTAAAGACTTTTCATGTTATAAATGCACTGAATTGCAGGTATAGTAAGCCAGGTAGATTAGTATGTTGGTACACTCCTTTTATAGCAGAGAGAAAAAATTTTAAAATGCTAGTTCCATTACTGTCACCAAAGAATAATTTCAGAAAAGAAAGAACTTATACATGTGCTAAAGTTTTTACTGCATGAAACAGCAACTCACAGAGTTTTTTCCCCCACCTTTCTCCATCCCACTGCACTTTTACCTGAGCTCACTTTGTTGCTTGCTCGATGTCCGTCTGGTATTCAAATACCCGGAAATGAATACAAAGTAGGATTTCAGATTCTCACAGCAATAAGTATGAATACGGCTGTCTTCTGCGTAATACTGTGTAGTCTGGTAGAAGGTTACCAGTGTTTCAGAGGCGCTTGTTACCTCCATCATCTGTTGATAGCCCTGATGATGGAGGCAGCAGGGCCTTCTGAAACACATGTAAACTTGTGTCATACTACACGGCAATGAAACCCAGAAAACAGCCATATTCCAAGTGAGAAAAGTCCTATGTATTCTAGAACAGGGGTTCTCACCCTTTTTTGCTGGCATACCACTAATTCTAATTTAACACACTAAATGTAAAACTAACCAAATGCGTTCAGGGAAAACTTATTTATGTTAAAAATATCTTTTGATTTTCTTACTTAGTTCGCGTACCACAGGTTGAGAAACGGTGTTATAGAGGAAAGTCCTGATAAATGATGGGGCAATGTCACCTAGAAAATTATATGTTCACTGCAGGTGAATCACGTATTACCGTCGTCGCTTATAGTTAAATTTATTTTCAAGAAATACAAGTCTTTCTACTATCTTGACTGTATTATTTCTTCTTTTGTCCTTCCTGTATATATTGTGGATCCTGGCTATGCATGGCATTGTAACATCTCAAGTTAATCTTCAGCAGGCCGGTGTATGGTAGGAATCATAAGGTTTTCTGATCTTCTGAAGTTTCCTATTCATCTTTTTGCGTTCGACAGTGTTCGTAAGTCACATATTGTAATAAAAAGTATAATTTTTAATGTGTCACACACTTATTCGGTTCACGCCACAACTGTAACATGATTGTAATCACAGATGAAATACAACCACAGATTAATGAGTACAAAGAGACAGTAGACTGCCAATCATAGCCTTCAAGAAAGCGTGCGATTATGTTAGGAGGGAAGTATTGTACAATATTCTCATCGAGTTTGGCATACCCATGATATTAGTTAGGTTTATTGAAATGTATTTGAATGAAAACTATAGTAAAGTCCGTAAAGGAAAACAATTGTCAGATATCTTTCCTATTCAGAATGATCTAAGACAAGGAGAAACCTTATCGCCATTGCTTTTCAACTTTGCTTTAGAATACGCCGTTAGGAAGCACCAAGAAAAACAGGTGGGTCTGAATCTGAATGGGACACATCATCTTCTGGTCTATGCGGATGATGTAAATGTATTGGGGGATAACATAAATACCGTAAAGAAAAACGGAAGTGAACAGTGGTGAAGCAAGCAAACAGTGGGGGACAGCTGACCGTGAATGAACTAGCGAGAGTGAGCTAGTGGGAGTGTGAGAGCAAGGAGCCATCCAGCGGTTCGGTGTAGCAGCTTGGCGCTGACAGCCGAGGCTGTGTTGGGAAGAGTGCCGAGTTCGGGAACCGGAACGGCTGAAGAGCGAGCGGTCCAGTTTGGTGCTGCGAGCCGAGGGCTGTGTGTGAAGAGCGCCAAGTTTGGGGACCTGAACGGCTTGACGGATATTACGTGTGGACAGTGTGTGTGTGTGTCGCGTACTTGAAGAGATAGAGACTTAGCAACTGTTCTGGCCGATTTGCCTGTGTGTATACTTCTGTAAATTGATTTGTTTAAATAAATCATCGTTGATATAGAGCCCAAGAAGCAGCAGTCGTCGTCACATTTGCCAGTAACTGAGATAACAGTTATTCTTTCAAATCACAAGAGTATAATAAATAATTTGCAGATATGTAGTAACTAAGAAGAAATTTAAGGGTTAATGGAACAAAGAAATTAAAGAGAACAAAAGAGAGATACAATGGTATCACACAATTTACATACAGGCCCCCTGTCATTTTGCAAGAAATACAGCCAAGTTCGTCAGTGAAAAATGTTCCAGTAAGAGGCGAACACAAACCTTTGTGCGCTGTTCTGTTAATCACAACAGCCCTTCAGGCTTGCTGGGCAACCAGGACTCACTTTCATGCAGAGTACCGGTTATTTCCATGACCTTTCCAGTCCATTATTTACAGTTCTACTACCACTGGATGCTAAGCAGAGTCTCTGAATTAACGAAGAAACGTGAGACAGGATAGTAAAAAAAAACACACACACACACAGTTTGAGACATTTTTCAGTGTCTTGACTATTTGTCAAAATGAAACGAAAATAATGTATATAAAATGCTATTAATCCTGGAATTATGATTTTAAAGGCTTATATGTTCTTTGAACGCAAGACAACTCCGAGTATCTTTGACTGCAACAAATACACACGTGGGAGAAAAGGAAGAACGTGAAGCGGTAGTACGTACGGAGAGATAACACAATTATTTATTGCGAAATTACTGAGGTTAGGCTGTAGATGTAGCATGGTGAATGTTTAAGCCACAACACTTCCTTCTGTGACGTCAGTAGGTAAACTGATGATTACATCACAGCAATCTCGAGTTCGTCGGAAGAACGCAGCTTGAAGCATTACAACGGAAAGATACAACGCTTACCAGGAATTCGTATCGCGTTCGCATAACAGGAAAATTACGGATCGGACTAGACAGAAAGGAATTATCTTTCTCATGCAGCAGACAACTGGAAGCATGCCATAGCCAGTGGCAAGCGATATGTGTGTGTGGCCTCTACAGGTACTTCCATGCTGACATACGACGCGACCTTCAGAGGCGTTGTGTACTCTGTGACAGGTTTCCAAGGAGTCGTGTCTTGAAGAGGACTTTGCCATGTCAAGACGAGAAGAAACATTCACGTGTGTGAAGAGTTCCGTGTAGTCTAGCAGAAGTTTACCGATGTTTTAGAGGTGCTTGCTGCCTCCATCATCAGGGTCCTACACGATGCAACGTCAAAGAATGCTGCCTTCTTCACGAGAAGAAACGTTTAAGATTCAACTACTTTCATCCATGACGTGTTATCATTATTACATCCGAGACAGACTGCACATGGCCAACTTCTATTAAATTGTCCTAAGTGGTGATTCTGAATTCGGGTGTTGGCACCATGTGGAAGTGGGTCGTGTTGCCGACGTTTCAGAGGAGTGCTGGGAAGTACGCAAGCTTTCTATGTCCCAACATTCCTCATTTCAGCCCTGATGATGTAGGCAGTATGTTGCTTTGAAACTTAGGTTAACACAGTTCACTTCCACGTCGTGCCAGCATCGAAGAGAGGATCAACATTAACAGTGGATTATCGCGAAAGGTTGAAATCAAGCAATCTGGTGTTTGACATTTTAAAGAATCCTTCATACGACAAACGAACCCTCACATCCCCCGCAGAATTGGCATCTGTCTCAATAAACAAAACAAAAGGTTCTCGTGACCTGCATACGTGAAATCAATTTATCAGTTTATGTCCTAATGCAGTTCTTCGTTGGATAAAATGCTCGAATCTCCAATAGCGATTGAAGAATTACATGGATAAAGAGAGGATAATGACGGGGGTGTTACTATATTGATACCGAGACAATGCAAGCGTGCAGTTCGTTC